AATTTGGACAAGTAAAATAGTGTTTAACAAATAGCATAACATGGGTACTAAACAATCCAAAAGGCCACAGGCCCTTTACCTTCCTCCTCTTTTCAGGCTACGTGTCAGCTTGGATGAGGAAGACGCTGTGAGGTAAGTTTACAATAATGACAAATATATCTTCTCACACTAGTTATTTCATCCTACGATGAGAATATAAGCCCAAGTATATGTGAACACTTGTTTAAAAGATTTAGATAGTTCACAATTGGATGGTTTAAAAAACCAAGAATTCTGTATAATTCACCCCTATACTTTTAAAGTTGATATTAGAGAAGATGATTGTGCCTCCATTCCTACCTTAGCCTACTATCCTGCATTCGAAACTCTCTGGGCTCCTCTTAGGGGACCTTGTGGCAGTCACAGGGAGGTGAAATTACTATTTTAATTAATTAACATTCAACAGATATTTATTGAATATTGACCATGTGCCAAGCCTTATAAGAGCTACGAATAGCCTGGCCAGCATGGCTCAGTGGTTGAGCGTTGACCTATAAACCAGGAGGTCACGGTTCAATTTCCAGTCAGGGCACATGCCCAGGTTACAGGCTTGATCTCCTGTGTGGGGCGTGCAGGAGGCAGCTGATCAAAGATTCTCTTACATCATTGGTGTTTCTATCTCTCACTCGCTCTCTCTCTCCCTTCCTCTCTGAAATCAGTGAAAAAATATTTTTTAAAAACAATGAATAGAAAGGAGAGCAGAGTAGACCCTGTCTTTATGTTCATGGAGCTACATTTTAGTGGGTGATTCAGATCAGTTATCACACAAATAGATTTGTAATTCAAACTGTGTTTAGTTCTATAAAGGAAAAATACCTGAGATATTTCTCTCCTTTAGTTTGTTCACACAACCACCCTAAGAAATCTGCTTTCTTTTCCCTTTAGGGGCCTCCAAACAGGTGGCTTTGCCTGGGAGGGAGAGGTAGAAAACAACGCGTATAGCAAGGCTACAGGGGTAGTCCCCCAGCACAAGTATCACCCCACAGCTGGCAGTTACCAGCTCCATTTTGCCCTGCAGCAACTTGAACAACAAAAACTTCAGTCCCGGCAGCTTCTGGACCAGAGTCGAGCCCGTCACCAGGTAATTCAAGACTTTTCCAAGTGCTAATATCTTCCTTCTATTGGTAAAAAAAAATAATAATAATAAGGTCAGTGGGAAAATGTAGGAATACAGTTTACCAAAGGTCTACCAACACCACCATGGCTTGGATGGTTCCTGGGGAATCTACTCTCAGGCAAGAAATGTTCTGAAGCCAAAGCTTTGGCTTTGCTGTAAAGTGATGCCGAACCACTTTTGACATTCTTTCTTTCATTTGAATGTTTCCCCATAAAAGTCTCTAGTGTAGTAGTTACCCTTCCTATTATATGATCTTAGTTTAGTAACTTCCCAAAAGGATCTAATTCTCAAGTACCTAGAAGCTAGCATTTTTATTAATTTTTTTTAAGTGTACTCTGTCTTTGCCTTCATAGACGTGGCCCATATAAGTACATGTTAATCCTTCATGACCTATCAAGATTTTCAAGGAATAAATCACTTTGAAGTTCTTGTACGAAATGGTCATAACTTAAGTTGTTGGTCTTTTGGTTTGATAGTTTGTACTCAAAACAGTGTAAACAAAAATATAAAATGTACTCCAAAATCCTTGCTGTCATGGAGCTTACGCTCCAGTGAAATATTGATTCCCTATTCACTGTCTATAAAATGACAGAAACTCCTTTTGAATATATGTGTGAGGGAGCTATCTGAGTATTTTACACTTGTGTATCAGTATGGCCCCTATTACAGAGAAAGGATGACTTCACAAAAAAGTCAGGCCATGAAAAGGTAAACGTTTCTTTATGATTCAGGATTATCATTAGACTCAGTTACCATGTTCTACATGTTCTATTGGGCTGAATGAGTATTGATTCTATGAGCTTCCCTGATATTTGGTTATCTGGAGAAATGTCTTCTATCAGCTTAATTTTTTGTCATTTTTATAAAAATGTAGTGCGCATTATTACTTTGTGCAAAATTAAAATTCACTCTATGGCTAAGGCAATGTTTACCAAAGTTTTTCTTCTGAATAAAACAATTGTCATTATGCTCTCTATCATTACTTATCTTTTCAACTACTGTCCCAGTTCAAACATATTTTCTTATTTCAGTATCATTCACCATTTGATTATCTGTTTTAGTGTACTCTGTATATTATTACTAGAGGCCCAGTGCATAAATTCGTGCACCAGTGGGGTCCCTCTGCCTGGCCTGCAGGATAGGGCTGAAACCAGCTCTCCTATATCCCCTGAGGGGTCCCAGATTGTGAGAGGCACAGGCCAGGCCGAGGGACCCCACTGGTGCATGATCTGGGCTGGGGAGGGACGCGGGAGGTTGGCCAGCTGTGAAGGGACCTAGGGAGGCCTCCAGGGTGTGTCTAGCCCATCTCGCTCAGTCCCAATTGGCCAGACCCCAGCAGCAAGATAACCTACCGGTCGGAGCATTTGCCCCCTGGTGGTCAGTGCACATCATAGCGACTGGTAGACCAGCCGACTGTCTGCCCCCTGGTGGTCAGTTCACGTCATAGCAAGCAGTTGAGCGGCCTTAGAATATTATTACACTTTGATTGTTGAACGGCCAACCAGACGACCAGACACTTAGCATATTAGGCTTTTATTATATAGAATTAATTCATTATAATTGAGAAATTCTAAGTGCAAATATTTGTGAAGTAGTTCATTAGGTCATTTTTCTAGAAAAATATTCACACTTTTCATCTGGAAAATATGTAATATAGCATCTCATTTTGATCACTACACTGCTCTTTGGTAGAAATGTTCTTTTCTAGAAAGTCTAAGGGGATAGAGAAGCCATTTAAGCCAGTTTGCATTTTCACAATTGCAGATATAAATGTATCTTTGATATTTTTTAATGTTTAAATTTTTAAGAACTCCTTAAACTTCTAAAGCCCAACATCATTCACAGTACTAGAGAATACCAGCTGAATCGGATACTAGATAGTGGAGGTGTCATACGTAGCCTTATTTCTCATATGTGAATATAATTTTATAATCCATGGCCTGACATATCTAGACACTTGGTCTCTTGTAATTTTTAATGCTTCCATACCTTGAAATGGTGGGTGATTTAAAAAAACAAGGAGGTGCTTGCAGGGCATTGAAGTTTTGAAGAAGGAGACAGTTTTGCTAATGTTCACTTTTAGAAACTGCTTCATTTATAAGTCCTCATTCTTTTGATTTGCTTCCAGCAACTCACATTCCTTTGAAAATTCAGAGTATTACTACTCTTGTGTGGATTTTTTTTTTTTCACTGAGGATTATACTGGTTTAGTTTCACTGAACTATGAAGTATATGGAAAATACGTTTTTTTTGAATCTGTCAGAATATCTATCTTAGGGAGGACTCAGAACTCCCAAGAAGGGAGTTATCTCGTGTCTCCTGGAGAGGGAACAGAAGATCATTCATCACAGTTTTATATATGTTTATACCATCATTTTCTTTCTTCCCTGGTTCTTCTAACCCATAGTTTTATTTAGATAAAAACGAGGAAGAGTAAAGTTCTGGGGCTGTGGAGAGCTAAAGAGACTAAATTTGATTAGCTTGAAGAGTTTAAAACTAATAAAATAGCAAATAAGATATTAAATGTTCTAGCATTAAGGATATTTTGTAACTTAGGGCACTGTATTTCAGAGGACAAGAATCACTTCACAAAAGGAACAAACCCTACGAGATTTTAAGCCTCTGTTTTCAGCTTACCTTATGACTGTGCTAGACTTGACTGTTATAATTACCACTAAATTGTTGATTGAAGCATAGCTTGCATTCTCAATATGTCCTGTATTTCTGTCCTTGATTAAGCTTTAGAATAGAGATGGTTTCTCTGATGAACTTCTTATGCTTTGGATTTATTTTACTTGAGAGGTAGTCATTGATATAACTAACAATTTGGTTTAAGAGCAGTGGATAGATTTGAAATCTGATTTACCTAGCATTCGTTCACAAGATAGACCGGTTAATAGAATAGGACATTAAAGGATTCTTTATATTTGTTACATTATCCTACATAATAAAAGGCTAATATGGAAATTGACTGAACGGCGGAATGACCAGTCACTATGACACACACTGACCATCAGGGGGCAGACGCTCACTGCAGGAGCTGTCCCCGGGTGGTCAGTGCGATCCCACAGGGGGAATGCTGTTCAGCCAGAAGCTGGGCTCACAGCTGGCAAGCGCAGCGGCAGTGGCAGTGCTAAGGATGTCCTGACTGAGGCCTAAGCCATCAGTCAGACATCCCCTGAGGGCTCCTGGACTGCCAGAGGGCACAGGCCAGGCTGAGGGCGCCCCCCCCCCACCTAGTGCACGAATTTCGTGCACCGGGCCTCTAATATTATATTATATTTAATATATTTATCATATATTATATTAGCGTGTATATCATGTTACTGTATGTTAATTATGTATATGGACAGTGGTTTTCATACTGATCTCCTAAAAAATGTTTTGGGAAGATCTTGCAGCCTTTCTTTTTTCTTTTTCTTTTTCAAATGGAGTATTTTATTAACATATTACTTGTCTTTTTAACATATACACACACACTGACACACACTGACTGTCTGCGTAAACAAGGGTTGTCTAAATATCCTAATGGAAAATGAAAAATTTAAAAATATCTTAATTTTTCATTGTTATACACAATTTCATCCACATCAGTTACAAAGCTATTACTGATTCTGTCCACGGAAGCAGAATGGTTTTGGAAGAGAAAACTTGTGGGTAAGTTCATCAGTGAAACATAACTGAGATCTCAACATGAGAAAGCTGACAAAACATGAATTTTTGCTGTGAAATTTTTCTTTGCAAAATATGGAGAAAAGTCTGTCAATGGCCAGTAAATAAGAGAAGGTGGTGAACTTTTGTAGTCAGTTCTCACAGTATTGTGCAAGGGTATCAAGAAAGCTGTTCAGTCCTTCTCTGGGACCAGTTTCAGAACTTTTCCAATTGCAATGGTCTTGCCCTCATCTCTTAAAGTAAAACGACCCATCTGAGGAAAATCCTTGATTGTCTCAAGGCAGATAGTTCCTGCTGTCCTTAAACGGGCAGTGCACACTCGACCTTGTTTCACGAAGCGGGGCCGTGTCTTACTTTTCTCTCCAGATTTTTTGTTTACCAAGGAGATTAAGGCTGTTACCTCAGCTTCCTCAATGCAAGTATGAATGTGCAGCACCGCATTATAACCCGGACAGGTGATGGACTTGTGCTCAGTAATCACTATCTGAACGTCAAATGTACGTCCAGAATGGCAAAGATTATTAGGGTCACAAAGTATAAATCCTGGAAGAATCTCTTCTTCATTTCCCTTCAGTCTGATTTTAAGATTTTCACCTGGGGCTACATAATCAGTTTCAGCATCATCAGAAAGTGTTCCAGGAACTTCCACATTTTGCCTGTTTGGCATCATCACAGGCTGCTGGCCTTTAAAAATGGATCCTGATTCCAGCTTGCCCAGGACCACAGTACCCATATCCTTGTACTTATCCACAATTGGCAGTCTAATTGGTCCATCAATTGATCTGTTGAAGTTTGGCATGTTATCCAAATACGGAATAAATGGTAATTCAGTGTACCAGGGGCAGAAATCTGATTGCTCTTTAATATCTGCCCCAGTTAGCCCTGAACAGGGCATAAAATGAATGTCTTTTTTTGAACTGAAGCCGACTTTTTTCAAAAAGGGCACCAGTTTTTCTTTACATTTTTCATATCTCTCACTGCTCCAATTTACTGTGGGATCATCCATCTTATTAATAAGCACTACTAAATGCATTACACCTGCTGTCTTTGCCAACATAGCATGTTCTCTTGTCTGTCCACCTTTTTCAAAGCCTGTTTCAAACTCCCCTTTCCTGGCAGAAATAACCAGTACTGCCAAATCAGCTTGAGAAGCACCACCAATCATTTTGGGGACAAAACTCTTATGGCCAGGGGCATCTAGAATTGTGAAATGTTTCTTTTCTGTTTCAAAATAGGCACGACCCACCTCTACTGTTTTACCCTTGTCTCGTTCTTCTTGATTTGTATCTAAGGCCCAGGACAAATACCAAGTTTCTCTGTTTTTTTCTTTAGCTTCTCTTTCATGTTTCTCAAGTGTCCTTTTGTCAACCATTCCTGTCAAAAACATTATCTGTCCTCCAATGGTTGACTTGCCAGCATCTACGTGCCCAGTGAATACAACATTTGCGTGTTCTTTTTTTTTTTTTTTTTTAAATATATTTTTATTGATTTTTTACAGAGAGGAAGAGAGAGAGATAGAGAGCTAGAAACATCGATGAGAGAGAAACATCGATCAGCTGCCTCCTGCACATCCCCCACTGGGGAAGTGCCCACAATCCAGGTACATGCCCTTGACCGGAATCGAACCCGGGACCCTTCAGTCCGCAGGCCGACGCTCTATCCACTGAGCCAAACCGGCTTCGGCATGCGTGTTCTTTTTTAGGAGCACCTGAGGGTAGGACCACAGGTTTAGATGTTCTCATTTCCTCTTTCTCCATCACTTCCTGGCCACTTTCTTCTGGGGGCCCTGCATCTCCCAGTGAACAACCCCCTGGCTCGGCTTCACTCATTTCTTTACTGTGCTCCCATGACTCCTCTAGAACCATCTCCACCTCTCCATTTCCTGTAACAGGTTCAGAAAGTTCCTTGGTGATGGCTGGATCGGAGCCTTCACACAACACTCTCTGCTCCTCTTTGGCATGTTCCACAGGCGCCCCCAGCCCCAGCCTTTTACCTTCAGGTTTGCCCGCCCCGGGGCAGGTTTCCTCAGTGCTGGTGGTGTCCGCAGGGGGGGTCTGCGGCTAGGCCGCCCGCAGGAAGGACAGCAGGAACTCCGCGGCGGCGTGTAGGTGTACGTTAGGCACGAAGGGTTTGGCACTGACCACTGACGTTTAGGTGACGGCTGACCGCCGGGCTGAGATGCTCACGCTGGGCCTCGGCCACCGCTGCTGGAGAGGCTGGGTCCCCGCTAGGGGCTGAACCCACTGCCTCCATGTCCACCTGGTCCCAGCAATCGGGTGCTGAGTCGCTGCTGCTGCTACCATCACCCGTATCCATCATCGGAGGACCTGATGGGTGGCGGGGAGGGAGCAGGGTCAGTAGGACAGAAAGAGCGGGCTATGCAGACGGGTAAGGCAGCAAGAGCGTGGGGCCAAGGGGTAGCCACACGCACCTGAGTGGCAGCGCGGAGACAGTGAAGTACCGACACTGCATTCGCAGCTGCGGCAGCAACAGCCTCTTGCAGCAGCCTCTTGCAGCCTTTCTTGCATTACTTGCGGAGGAAGTTCTCCATCCTTTTCTGCAGATAGGTAGCCAGTTTACTGAAGGTATTAATTTCAAGAAGGCCCACTCTGATTCAGGATGAGTTTGGAAATGAGCATCTCCAAACATTCATGTGGAGGTGGTTTTGATCTCCATATCTGTCTAGCATTTCACTCATAAATCTAGAAATTTTTGTTCACTGAATCTACCCCTACTAAAAACTGGTCCTATAACATGGGCGTGGGAGAGGAAAGTCACCCAGAGCCCTTGGCAAAGGTTTCCAGGGACAGAGGTACAAAGACATAGGTGGGATTCAGTCCATTTGATAGAGAGCGTGATAAAAGACAAAATGGAAACTATGAGCTTTTACACATTGATGAGTAAAACCAGCAGTTTTGGTTAGGGTTGTTTTTGTTTTGTTTGTTTTTTTCAAGACATCCCAAATCAGAGCAGAGTTCAGCAAACTTACTCTGTAAATGGTCATATAGTATTTTAGACCTTTCAGGCTATAGATAGGGTCTCTGTGGCAACTACTCAACTTTGTTATGGGAGAATGAAAACAGCCATAGATAACATGTAAATGAATGATTGTGGCTGTTTTCCAATAAAACTTTATTTACAAAAACAGGCAGCAAGCTGGATTTGGCCTGCAGCCCTAGTTTGTAGACCCCTGGTTTTGAGCCATAGAACCCCTTGGAGGGCTTATTGCGGTTACCAGTTGCTTCCCCAACCCCATTTATGATTCAGTAGATTTGGGATGGGGCTCACTTACTTCCGTTTCTAAGTTTCCAGGTGATATTAAAGCTGCTCTTCTGGGTATCACATGTTGAGAAACATTGGACTAGAGGGAAAGAGACTACAAATGTTCCCCTTCGTTATTTGTTTTCTGTCCTTTGGAAGGGAGACTGAATATGTTAAATCTTAATGTTGCCCTTATAAGATTTTCAGCAATCAGTTTTTATCGGAACTTTGTTTCTATCTTCTCACTCCAAACTTGAAAACCTCCTTGCTCATTCTTCTTATCCAGGTACGTTGTGCTCAGCAACCACTGCTCCCAGCATTCGTTTCATAGTGGATAAGAGATAAGTACTGGGACACGTTCTTCCCTCTGTGTTTTAATAATAAGCACTAACGGAGGTCCAGTCACTATTCCAGGTGCTTCACATATATTAATTCATTGAAAATGAGTGTCGGGATGGTTGGGGAAAGTGCAGAATCTTGACAGTCTAGGGATGGGAAAATGACTGGTACGGGCTGGTGTGTCCCTGTGTGTGTCTCCTCTCTCCTTTCCCTCTGTTTCTCACTTCCTTCTCAGACTGGCTTCCTGCCCCTGGAGGAACAGGTTAAAAACTTTTCTTTCAGCCGAGTCGTGGGACTTTCTTCAGCAACGGTTGACTTGGTGACATCAGCATGAGTAGCCCTCCATGCTGGGGTCTGTGAGGAGGGCTTCGCAGGCTGTGAGGCCCGACTGACCTGATTCTAATTGCCGACATTGAGCTGATGTTATTCTTGGCCCGGGACAGAGCGATTACTCAGTAGTTTCTGTTAAAGTGATCCTTTGTTAAACTTCTGCTCCCAGCCCCCTCTCCTTCCCTCCCACTCTCTTCTCGGCCTCATCCAGACCGAAAAAAGGCCCCAAAACAGAAAAATTAAGGACATTTTGATGGCCAAGGCAGAACTGCTGAAATTTCTTTTAATGACAAAGTTGGAGAGGGGGATTTTAATGTTTTACTGGTTCCCAAAGCCCTTCCATTTGAGGTAGATTTACTTTTCAACATAGTGAAATAACTCAAGGCAGAAGAAAACTGTGCATCCTAAATTCTTCTCATCTTTCCACTCCCTCTGTTCTTTACCGTCCCCCTTCCCACCATCCCAAAATTTTTCAGATTAGCAGGGGGGCAGACAGCTCAGTGTTCACATCAAGGGGTCTTTCCGTGTGCTAGTAACATCTTGAAGGCTATATGTAATGAGCTTTTTGCTAATGGGGTATGTGTGGGTGCGTGTGTGTGTGTGTGTGTGTGTGTGTGTGTACGCACATGCATGCACAACCTCGCAGGTGTGGAAAGGATTCCCATATAAACCCAGCCAAGTCTTGTTATTCTGCTCCTAAAACTTCATTGCATGTGTCTAGAAAAATTCTGCCCCCCTGGTGGAATGAATACTGTGTCTCCAAGTCTTCAGCTGCTGTGTGTTTGTGTTGTGGGGGAGGGGAAAGAGAGAAATTCAGCAGGCACCGGCTTTTCCAGGCAGCCAGCAATAACACGCTAGCTCCTCAGCATGGCACAGAGAGCAAGCAGACAGGCTCGCTGCGCAGGGGAGTCTCTGCGTGCTTCTAACAGTACTTGTGAGGGGGGTGCGCTGGGGGTGCGTACGCAAGGGGGAGAACGGCGGCCTGTGTGCTTAGATTCCCGGGGCAGGTTGACTTAAATGTCATAACCTACTGCTGCTTTGTTTTTTTGGTTTTGTTTGGTTTGGGTTGGGTTTTTTGTTCTGTTTTGTTTTTCCTTCTGACCTTTATCAGGAGCTCATATAACACTTAGCTTCTAGATGATGATGATGGTAATGATGATGAATTTTCCTAGAACCATTTGATTTAGTAGATTTTGTCAAATCAAACTCTTTTCTTTGTCTTACCTCATACAAACACATTGAAAATATGTGAAATAATACATGTAAAACTCCATCCAGTTGTTTGAAATAGGCACGCTGGACAATCTTTGGAATCAGATAATCCTCAGTTTAAATCTTATCCCTGACCTGGGACAGGTTATTCAAACATCTTTAAACCTCCGTTTGCTTATCTCTAACATGGAAATGATAATATACCTGTGAGTTATCATGAGGATCATAATCCTCGGGACATTACAGTGTGTGGAGCACTGAACCAGAAGTCATGCTAGTTTTTGTATTGAGTCCTCACAACTGCCCACTTTTTAAAATATATATATTTTTATTGATTAGAGAGAGAGAGAGAGAGAGAGAGAGAGAGAGAGAGAGAGAGAGACATCAGTGATGAGAGAGAATCATGAATCGATCGGCTGCCTCTTGCACACCCCATGCTAGGGATCGACAGCAACTTGGAATGTGCTCTGACCGGGCATTGAATCCATGACCTCCTTGTTCATAGGTCAACACTCAGCCACTGAGCCATGCCGGCCAGGCACAACTGCCCTCTTATCAGCCCCTTTTATAAATGAAAAAACAGAGCATCATTTATGTAACTTTATTAGGGTCACATAAGTAACAAATGGGAGAGCTGGGATTTGAAACCAGGTGTGTCAGCGTCCAGCATCCAAGCTCTCGGCTATCATGCTGTATGCCACCTTCCTGACAATCTATTAAGGCATTCAATAAATAGTAGCCATATGTATTATTATATAAATTTTAAGCTTCAGTTCATACACTCAACAAGCACTTATTCACACCTATAAAACTGTATTTTAAAAGTTATTGTCAGGTACACTAACTATGTACTGTCTCAAAAGAAAAGGTTTAGTTAAACATTGGTAAACTCAGACCTAGACAGTGCTCCGGTTAACACAGATTCTTCAAGAAGTGTCTTAAGAGGGTGTTTCTGGGCTTACAACTCTTAGAAATGCCCTCCCTGGTGCTTGTATTATTCAGTAATAGGATCAGGGACTACTGAAACTTTGGAAATTCTGAGCACTTATGTGGATTGTTACTAATAACAGGAATTATCTTTCTAATGATCACTTTGGCCTTCTTCAATTTTTTATTAAATGTATTGGGGTGACATGGGTTAATAAAATTAGATAAGTTTCAAGTGTACAATTCTATAACACATCATCTGGATAACACATTGTTTGGCCTTTCAGTCCTGTTATTTTTACTGGTCATACTATTTCAATTTTATTTCTATGATGGGTGTTTTTGAGAAGACTACCAGGAAATATGGCAGGTGCCTATGAATGTGAATACCACAGATGACACCTTTGCACGACTCATGTTATGCTTGCTTGTTCAGTACCATATAAATCTAAATCTTAATGCATTATTGTAATGCAGAACTCAGTTCATTATGCTGATTCATTACTAACAGCAATAGAAGTCCTCTGGTTTCCATCAGGTTGTCTTCTGAGCTGCTCCTAGAAAACTGTCCCCCTGGAAGCTTAGTGGGAGGAAGGTGAGGGCAGGGAAATGGACGTATAGCGGGAGTCTCCTGAGTGCGGGATGTAGTGTCTTCATGCCACTGGTGAGGAAACTGATGCGCACAGAGTTGGAGCAACTGATGCAAGGTTGCACCGCTAGCTGATCCAGAGAGAATAGTCAGCCCAGGCGGGAGGGCTTCCACAGCCCTTTCCACTCTCCCGCCGTAGCCTTGGTAGAGTGACTGTTCGTTTGCTTCTTGTTTTACACATTAGCATTCCAGTTTTATTGCTTCTGCTGCTATACACTCAAATACACAAATATAAAAGAATCAGCTTAATGAAGCAAAATGCAGAACTCTACATGGTTGCGGGTATATTAAAAGAATTGTTCATCTATCAGCTGCTTGGGATCGATCTTGTTTGTTGCATATTCTTAAAATGTGGTTTTACTACAGCTGCCTGGTGAGAAGTCTTGTTTCCTCCCTCACTCTATGACCTATGGTTTATTTCTGTTTGTCTGTGGGCATATGAGGGACTCACTGCAGTAGCTTTGTAAGGTGAGGGAAGACCTCATCTTTAAACATAAAGAAGCCCATCCATCTGAGATGGATGCAGGCACGGGAAAAGCTTAATAAACATGACAGCAAGATACACCATAGGTCAACCATGCGAGATTCTGAGTCAAATAAA